CCGTCATGGAGGCCAAGAACTCCCGAGCCGCCGCCGACGTTTCGCCCGCCGATGGCAGATTGAAATCCCCCATGACTATAAGTCTGGGGGTCTCAACTGCCACCCCGGCTATCACGTCGGCCAGCTCAGGCAGGGCCGTTGATACATAGCAGGGAGCCAGGTATATAATCAACAGGCCCACTTGTACCCCCTGCCCCCATTTCACAAGGAGGGACTCACCACCGTCTATCTGAGGCACAGTGGTCTCCCTTGGGCATAGGTTCTCCCGTATAATGACCGCTACCCCACCGCCCCTACCCCAATCAAGGGATTGTAGTGCTTCCAACTATTTTCATTAGGGTCTTGTTTGGTATTTTCAAGCATATCTAACAGTAGTTCTTTCCAAGTTAAATGACAAAAGAAGCCAGGTACAAAATTCCAGCTAAAATGGCAATGTTTCAACGTTGCTGGTTGGGAATTTCATTGGTGCTGGTAATAGTAAATGGCTTTAATTTAATGAGAAAAACAGATTGCAACATTTAGGCTTGATTTTCAAAACACTGCATATCTGACCATTGCACAAATTAAAAATTTGTTGTATCTGGCTTCTTGCTATATTGCCCTGTCTTTGAAAGGAGCCCCTGGCTTTATCTATTTTGTGGATGCATAGACTCTTCTTGAGATCTGTTAAGAGCACTCTGCAGGCTATTCTGCATGCATATTTGAGTAGAGATACACATTGCACAATCTCTTCTCCAAGCCTTGGTAATGCTATGAACTAGAGATGAGTAGGCAAACTAGTTTCCATCTGGATGTTTTAAACTACATTTCTCATAATTTGACTCCCTGGTCATTCTGGGTGAAGGCTCATAGGGATTGAATTGGGCAAATATTCTAAGCACACACTTCTCCACCATTTAGATAACATTGTTAAGAACTTTTGGGAAAGGAGAGACTGTGTATGTTGTCACTTGATACCAACCCCTTAATTTAAAGAAACATGCCTCTGAACCTAAACAAATAGGCCCCCAGTAAACAGAATCATTTTCATCTGTGTATGTGAAAAGTCAGGTGAGTAACTATGTTGGTATTGTACCAGATCACTTTGGCCTTATTTGGTAAAGAATTTTTCAGAGTTTTTTTTTTAAGGAACATACCTTTGGTTTGTCTGGAGCTAAATTTCTGAAAGCCAATCTATCACCTTTAATCATGATAAAACCTTATTTTATACTCCGTCTCATTTGCTTCTACAGACTTCGTTTGTTACTCTGGATGAAGCAATCAAGATAACAAACAGGCGTGTGAATGCTATTGAACATGGTAAGTAAAAGGTGATAATGTGGAAAGCTGTGGGTCATTTCTATGCGTGTTGCACAATTGGTATACTCACCCCTGAATCACATGATGAGCATTGTTCCCTGATATGTGTCATAGTAGCAGAGTGTTAATGTTTGAAGATTTTCCAATCTTACCATTAGAAGAGGATTATAATCCAAAGAAATCATCTCCCTTTAGGACATGTTTCAAACCAGGTGTTTTTTTTCCACTTTTTCTTCCAATAATGCCCCATATCTAATCTTTCTGCCTCTCTTTTCAAGTAAGATGTCACATTGGGATGCAGTTCATTTATTTTCTATTCAGTACTACTACTTGTTTTTATATATAATATTTTATTTTCTCATTTTACAATTGAATATTTAAAAAGCAGTGTGATGACTGGGTTGATCAATAGTTTAATAGCGTACATAAATCTTTAGTATAAATCTCATGTTACAACATCAAATATTTCCTCTCTTTTCCCATTAATATCTGTTATCTCATATTGGGCTAGTACAGTTATTATTATCAGCTAAGTAAAAACATCTTTGTTACAGTTATCAATAATTTTTAGCTTATACTGTACTACTTCTTAATAGCTACTAAGTCTATACCAAGTCTCTGGTCCCCAAAATCTATGCAAGTGTGTCCAATTTAGATCTGTACCACAAATAATTCTTGAAAACTTTAAATAGGTCCCTTAAAGCTCCTACAAACATTATTTTAATAATTAGAGTTTTATATGAATAGAGATTATTTTATATGTATAGAATAGATTTGTTAAAATGAATTTCATATTTCAATTACATGTAAATTGTTCTTTGTTCTGGTTCTACTTGTTTTGGAGAGATGGAATTTGTTCCCCATGAGATTAAAGTCAACTGTTACACTTGTGCCCAAAAAAGGCTTGTATTCCCAGTTTAAATGAAGCTTTGGCCTGCCCATGATCACTATATGATACCTGATACCTACAAAGTAGAATATTCAAATGCTTATTGCATTTGATTAGTGAAGCTTGAAAGTTATTTAATTATCCTGCAGATGGTTTCACAACAAGAAAAACGACATTTTTCTTTGCCCTGTATCACGCTGTCCAGTAATTTATGGCTTACTGCAGAAGAATCAAATGACTATTTTGTTATGCTTCTAATTATAATTTTAGGTTTGAACTGCCTGGATAACCATAGCATCTCTCACCAATTCAGGAGTAGGAGAGGAACGGAAGTGGTTGCTGGGTGCTACCATGGGGAAGACATGAACTCCCTTTAAAACAAAATCAATCTAAACAAATTAAATCAGAAATGGAGAAGATTCACAATTGCCTGACACAGTACATAACAAGTTGATATAACTTGGATGGCATCCCTTAAGGGCTTCCAAATATCCTCAGATACATCCTTGACTGAACTCCCAAGAAACAAAGGCATAGTCCTAGGCTATGCAAAACTTTAAAGTCGGGGAGTGCTAAGGGATCCAAGAGACCTCAAGGGCTGAATTCCCCCCCAAAGAATCCACGTAAATGGTAAACAAATGCTTGTAATGCTGATAAAGTGAATACAAAAACGTAAGTTGGTAGAAGAGGATAGGGAGGGAAATTCCATACAGTTGTAATTTCAAGGACGGGTCATTAGTAGTTTTTTTGAAATCTGTCATAACTTTGAACTGTTAAGGGACTGCTCGAAAGTTGAGGACTACCTGTATAAGATTTCAGATCCCACATCGCACAAGCTCTTTTAAAATTATATGTGATAGTAACAACTACCTTTTATTCAGTGATTATTCCTAGAATTGAACGCACACTGTCTTACATCATAACCGAGTTGGATGAGCGAGAACGAGAAGAGTTTTACAGGTGAGCCAGCAAGTTAGACACTGAGTATTTTCAATCTTTCAATCTTTTTCAATGCATTTCCTATGCGAAGAACTCTTGGCAAGGGATGGGCTGCACCTCACAAAAACAGGGGAAAATGTACTTGGAAAAAGACTGGCCCAACTCATCAGGAGGGCTTTAAACTAAAATTGAGGGGGAAGGGTGACCAATCTTCAGAATTTCTAGAACCCAAAACCAATCACAAATCCCAAGAAAACAAATCAAACAATGAGGTAGGCAGTGATGAGGAAAAAGAAAAACCTCAAACAACAATCAGGAGATGCAGGAAACATACCCACAGACAGGCATAAAAGTCTTAAATGCTTAAGGGAATTAGATGTAAAGCCATACTGGACTTAATTCTTACTAATAGAGAAGAAGTGATAGAGGGAGTTGAAGTTGCCGGAACCTTGGGTGAAAGTGACCGTGTCATACTGGAATTTAATATAATACAAACACTAGCAATAGAAAACAATCCAGCCAGTGTCTTAAACTTCAAAAGAACTGACTTTAACAAATTCAGAGAGAACCTAGGAAAGATCCCATGGATAAAAATCCTAAAGGGGAAAAAAACCCAAGAAATGTAGGAAACTCTGAAAAATGCGATCATAAAAGCCCATACCAGCACAATACCATTGAAAAAGAAAAACAAGAAATTCAAGAAGAAACCAGCATGGCTGCACAAAGATCTCTCAGACAAACTGAAAGACAAAAAGGATAAGTACAAAAAATGGAAAGAAGGACACATAACTAATAAACCACAATTTTATCAGCAAACAGCCAGAACATGCAAAGATGAAGTCAGGAAAGCAAAGGCTCAGAATGAACAAAGACTTGCAACAGAAATCAAGGATAATAAAAAAGGTTTCTTCCAACATATTAACAAGAAAAAAGTCAAGGAAACTAGGTCAGGGGTGTCAAACTCAATTTCATTGAGGGCTGCATCAGCATTGTGGTTGACCTTGGGGGGCCGGGTAGGTGTGGCCAGGGTGGGCACGGCCTATGGGTGGGCGTGGCTGGAGTGGGTGTGGCCTACTGGGTGGGCATGGCCAGCTCTACATCGTTCCCGTTGAGGGTGCCTGTGGGGCCTGGGCAGGAGTGGGACAGATCTGAGGGTCTCTGGCAGAAGGGGGTTGGACCGGGGCAAGGGCCAAGGCATGGTCCACTGGAAGAGCCTCACTGTTTCTCTCAGGCCATGCGAGGGGGGACTGGATGGTGCCACAGGCTTCCTGGAGCCCTGGGCAGCAGAGGTCAAACGCCCAGCCCAGCCCTCAAGCACCCGCGGCACCAAGCCCAGCCCCACTATCCCAAGGGGGTGCCCAGCTGCACTTAACTCCTCCTGAAGGCTGCTGCTGCTATGCTTGCTCTCCTTAGCCAGGTTGCTCATGATGGGTATGAGGGCAAAATCAGAGGGAGGCCCACTCCCTCTCTATGGAAGACCCGGCTTTGTATCCAAAGCTTCCTTAGCAATAGGATGGGAGACCCCCAGGATAGGCCAGAAGGAGGGGGCAAGGGGATGGTGAAAGGGCAGCAGGGCAGGACTAAAGCAGGACTTCCCTCAGACACTCTCTCTCTCTCTCTCTCTCTCTCTCTCTCTCTCTCTCTCTCTCTCTCTCTCTCTCTCTCTCTCTCTCTCTCTCTCTCTCTCTCTCTCTCTCTCTCTCTCCCTCCCTCTCCCTCCCTCCCTCCCTCCCTCCCTCCCTTCCTTGGCAAGAAACGCAGCTGGGGAGATGTTACCCTTCGTGAGGAATGAAGAAATGCACCATCGCCTGGAAATGGTCAGCACATGGCCCTCGCTTACTTCACATATCTGGCTTGGTGGGCTTTGGGGGAGAGGATGCCATGAGCAACGTGAGAGTCGATGTTACCTGTGCAATGCCGTCCAGCCCCCAGCCTGCGTGGTTTCGACAGGCAGCGAGGCGCTCTCCTAACAGTGCTGAGAGGCTGAGCCAGGCAGCGCGAATCCGAAAAGAAGCGTGACGCCACCCAGCCCCCAGCCTGCCCGGTTTCGGCAGGCAGTGGGGTGCTCTCCTCACATGCCGAGAGGCTGAGCCGGGCAGTGCGAAGCTCGCCAGCTTTGCACCTTGCTTCCTGCCGAAATCGGGCAGGCTGGGGACTGAGCGGCATCGCACTTCTTTTTGGATTCACGCCGCTTGGCTCAGCCTCTCAGTGCTGTGAGGACAGCGCCTCACTGCCTGCTGAAACCCCTCCCCCGGAGCCCATCAAGCTGATTATGTGAAGTAGGCAGGGCCATTTGCTGGCCACTTCCAGGTAATGGTGCATTTCTTCATTCTTCAGAAAGGGTGACACCTCCCCAGCATGTGCCCAGGGGGTGGGGCCAACGCAGCAGGGGCTGGTCCCTTGCTGTTTCCAGACAGCCTTGTGGAGCTAAGACTGAATGCGTTTCAGCACAGATGGCCACAAATTGTACATTGGCTCCCGGGCAGCCTGGGCCGGGGCCAAGGCAGTGGGGGCCATTCCCTCATTGTTTCCAGGATGGCTTCGTGGGCCACATGAAAGCACGTCACGGGCCACATGCGGCCCCCGGGCCTTATGTTTGACATGTCTGGCGTATAGGGATGTGATTTTTAAGTAGTTGGTTATTACAGTGCAAAAGTATTACTGCAAAGCAAACTGCTTATGGCATTTCTCAGTGCCGTGCCTTCAGTGAAAACTGGCCACCTTTGAGAAAGAATTGATCATTCCTACTCAGTTAATTTTTGATAGGTAACACAGACTATGTGAATCAAAGCTTTGTTTTGAGCAGACTACGCCAGATTAACTAAGGGATACCTTCATTGTTTCTAAGGCGATAATATGAACAATATTTACATGTGATCCAAGCGGTAACAACAACCTGAGATTAGATTCCTGTGTAACAGCCTCCTTTCCTCCCCCTTCAATATTGCAGGCAGAATTCACATTCCAGTTCACTCATCTCTTCTTTTTGAAACTTATTTTTCCCATCTTTTCTATAAATGGGGAGGGAGGGGAATTTGGATAATAGTGTACATTTCTTACATTTCCGTTCTAAAAGGATGAATAACAATCACTAAAGTAGATCTCGTATGCCTCCCAGATTAAAGAAGATCCAGGAAAAGAAAAAGATACTGAAAGAGAAGAATGAGAAGTTGCAAGAATTACGGAAAGCTGCTGGAGAGCAAGAACCTGCAAATTTGCTTGCAGAAGAAAAAGACGAGGATCTTCTCTTTGAATAGCTGTGACACAAAGTTGTGACTGAATTCTAAAAGCTGTGCTGCTCTGTGGACCTTATTTATGAAGTTCTTTCTTTGATTATTAGCCTGAATGTTCCACTCCAGACCTATTCACGGAATGTTCTTGTTGTGGAAAATTGCTGTTTAAGTAAATATTTGCACGAAGCAGGATCATTTCTATTTCCTGTCTGTCTTCATTCCTTTGGTATAGAAGTATGGTTTCCCTGCTTGCTGCCAAATTCTTGTAATAAGAATTTTTGTTCATGGTCACAGTTGAAACCAGTGAGCATTTCAGAAATTCGTAACTTGGAATTATGTTTTCCTGAATAAGAAATATTCATTTTAAATTGTATTTCAATTGATTGTACTGTAAAATCAATAAAGAAATATGGCTAACCGAAGGTTATTCTTGTTTGTCAAACTTTCTTTAAGTGAGTGATTCTCAAGAGTGTGGTCCTAAAAGTCCCTTGGGTGGTTTGCCATTGCCACTCCTCATTCACCAGCCAGAAACCAATGGCTGCTTCAGCCTTGTTTTCCTGCATGGGATGCTAGTTGTCTTCTTCGATGTCAGGTAGCTCTTGGACTTACAGCTCAAACAGTATCACCTGCTTAATTGAAAGACTGAGTGATCACCAGTACAGTCAGTACAGTGCAGAACAGATTAGTTGTAGAGAAAGGGATTGCAAAAAAGTAATTCGTTTGCTCTTATAGGCATTGAAAGCAATGTAATTGCACTGGTGGCCTGGCAGCTGGCAGCTGTGAGTGTGTTATACCAGGGGTGTCAAACTGCTGGCCCGCGGGCCGGTTTCATCATATCGGAGCCGCGCCCACCCCATTGCCGGCAATGGCAAAAAAGCTCCGATACATCGCGCGACGTCACGAGTTTGACATGTCTGTTACACAATCAGCTTACAGTGCTCTCTTGAAATCTCTTCCTCTCCAATCTCTCTTATGCATGGGAGATAGGAAGAAAAAAAAAAGTGATTTTGGTAGGCAATCTCTCTTTCCTTGAACTTCTCCCCTGTCAGAGGACAGAGATTGGAGAAAAAGAAATTTCAAGATATTGTCAGCTAGATGCCAGGCTGGCTGCAGCATAATTTCATTTGCTTTTGATGTATACAAGAAGTAAGCAGGTATTAAAGCATTCCAAAGGGAGGAGGGGGAGTGATTAGGAGTTAAAAGCGGAAGGTGTGAAACAGTAGTCTTGCCTCTTTCCAGTGGAAAGCACTGTCATATGATTTCCTATTTAGATGAAGTCCCAATTAGGGAGGAGTACTTATATGTGTGCTGATACCAGACTAATGGAAAATCCCATCTTTATAATTGTTCTGCCTATGCTTTATTCTTGGATACACACTAGTAACCAGTCTGTGAAATATATCTACATCAGAAGAAAAGGAGTAGAGAAAAATACAAGAAGGCCAAACAAAAACGGGTAACAAACATTTAATAGTTTAAAGAAATGAGAGTTTCTCTGATTGAAAAGAAATATTTGCATGGGACAAATAGAAATGTGAACTCTTGCTGTTCACCTTCCCCTCTAAAGGCAAATTTACAAATGAGCATAAGACTCTTGTGTATACAAAACAACTCGATGCAAAGTAAGTAAGAAGTGAACTTTATTTTTGGTAAGCAAATAAATGGTGCAAGATTTGCTAATTCTTTCTCAAAGGACAATGAAACAGCTTCACAATTTAACACACGCAATATTCAAGTTTCATTTGTTTAGTCCGTACCTTACTTGTCATAAGGCTGTTACAAGCTGCATCTGAGTTGTTAAATCAAGTGGGAAATATTCTCAAACTTACTCAAGGATTAAGAGTTTTTATTTAAATACTCTTGGGCAGGGGTGTCAAACTGCCGGCCAGTGGGCCGGTTGCATCATACGGGGGCCACGCCCACCCCAGCTCCGGCAATGCAAAAAAAAAAAAGTCACGATACGTCACGTGACACAGCGAGTTTGACACCCGTGCTTTTGGGCAAACTTATAACATATGGAAGAAATTACCACTGAGAATCAGCTGTGCAGTTAGTAATCTCTACTAACTTACCTTTTTCTGCAAAGGGGAGGGGGGACAATGCATAGAGAATATTGGTTATCATGGCCATGCTTGCTAATCTGATGGATCTGAATTGTACTCTCATAGATAATAAGTTGTGCCAAAATAGTTTCCTACTGAATCATTAGAAAAAAGTAAAAACTTATGCAATTGAATAGTAAAAGAACTTCAAGCAAGTATAAAAATCAGGTGGCTTTTGTCTCCATAGTACATTGTGGCTTTAGGAAGTGCCATCGCATCTCTACAACAGATGATATCCAACTCCATCTGCCAGCTGAAGTGATACCATTGGTAGAACATATTCTTCCACAACTGGTAACTCCATGGGCACTCCAGAGTTTGGGGATTCCCTGGAACCAGTCTAAGTAATGTCAGTGGAAATAATTTTGTATAATGTTAAATCCAATGAAAGCCAAGAGGGGTAACTGCACTTCAAAAGTGCTGTATGCGTAGAGCATCTTTCTATTCTTTCTTAAACTGTCTGATCTTTATCCAGCTTCTATGGGAGCCTGAATAAAACTGCTTTAAGAATTTCACTAATTTTTAATAAGCAGATTCCTTTAAGTAGTGGCAATCTTTTTTTTTTAGGCTTGCCAGAATCCCTAAAAATGTCAAGATGCTTTAATAAACAGAGGTGTTATGTTCACAAAAGGGAATTTGGAATCACTAAAGCATGCAGAGCCCTAATAGCCAATATAGCCTCATAATTAGCCTTTACCAATCAAGCGCTTCCCATATCTCTTACGACTGCAAATTCCAGAATTCTTCATGTTGGCTGCTCGGGAATTCTGGGAGCTGTAGCCCCAAACACATCTGGAAGCACCAAACTAGTAGAAGGATGTTTGGAACAATGCTGGTGGTACTTATCACCACAACAGACTGCACTGCAGTCTTTATAACTAATTCCATACACTCATCTTTATTACAATAGTTTGTAATATTAAGCCACTAAAATAAAAATATATTAACAGTTAACATTTACTTGAAGTCAGGAAATACACATGTTTACATTAGCATACAGTTTACAGCATTGGTGCATTGTCACAGTTACCTTACAAGCCTCCTATTGTCCTTATTAGAAAGACACGGTTACATTCATGCCAATAAAATAATGTTTACTTGATTAAAACTGTTCCTGTTTCAATAACCAAGAAAAATCCAGTACACTCGTTCAGCATACAGCAAAACACTTAAATAGTAACATATTCAATGTCTCTAATTTTTTCTAATCATCATGCATTGTGAAAGACTTCAAAATGCATGCTTTCAGCAGCAGAATAAAGGATTAAATTTGTTACTACTGATTGATCTATAAAATACCATTTTAACAATCTTAATACCATTATTTGGCTTTGTTGCATCTGTTTAACTAAATGTTTTGTTTTTTTAAACCGACCTTATTACATTTAGTAATTTTTTTGTTCAGCAATCTCTAGATTCTTAGACATTAAAAGGGCAACAAAAACATAACAAAGGGATTCATTGTGTTGTGCATCTTAACATGTAATACACTCACTGCTGTGTCATGTCAACATCATTAATTCATCTCCAGAATGCACCCTGGATCATACCAGAATTCAAGTATGATAGTGAAAAAAGTTGGTATTTTATATGCATATAAAATGTTATATCTATCGCAAAAAAATCTAATATGGATTTTAATATTTACAATGTAATCCTATCATCCTAACACTTTGCTTTAAGTTGTGCTTGATTTGGGATGATTTCATAGATGTATTCTTAGAAACAAAACTGAAATATTTCCCTGTCCTTTTCAACTTCTCAGTTTAATCTATAGCCTTGGGATTTCCTGATGATTTCCTATCCTTGTTAAATTTTTCAAGATTAGCCAAGGATATTGAGATAAGGTCGTTTTGTCAAAATAGTTATGAAGAACAGGACATATGTGTTCAAATTTGTATGCCTGGTCTACAAACTTATGCATTAAATGCTCAATACAAGTTTACCAGAACAAACAAAACCAAATTATATATAAAACAGGAGAGGATGAGAAATAAAATTATGTGATTCCATAGTGTAGTGTCTCTCAATCTTAGCAACTTTTAAGATGTGTAGACTTCAACTCCCAATCAGACGGGGGATTTCTGGGAGTTGAAGCCCACACATCTTAAAGTTGCTAAGGTTGAGAAACAGTGCCATAGTCCATTTCTGATCCCTTAAGCAAAGAAAAAAGCTGGGATGCATTACATCTCAAGTGTAGTCCTTGTTTAGTGACTTGTAACAATCACCAATAGTTAGAAACGATCACAAATCAAATGAGGAAAAACCACAGCATTTCTTTCTCATGCATGGTAAGCAAAGTTGACAATTGGAGATGCATAATTATCTCAGGAATCATTCCATGTCATTTCTATTATCTACTGAAAGGCTTTACTGGATGAGGCACATTACTAGGTGATTATTTTACCATCAGTTTATAAATATAAGATTATACAGAATTTGAATGGGAGGGAACTCTTTTATATTTTTATTTATATTTTTTCCTCTTTTCTTGCTTGCTGAGGGATGCTTATAATACTGAACAATTTCAGTTCTTAAGCCAGTTTTTCAACACAGTTTCTATGTGCCATACAGCATGTTCAACAATGAATAAAAAAGTATTATTCTTGCCGAGTTCTTTTCTATTTCATATATTATGAGGAAAAAATGAAATAACATAAAGAAATAGCTAATACTTCACCTATTCAACTACATGTTGAAGTAATTCCAGTGTAAGACAGTATATAAAAATAAAAGCTATGATTGAGAAAAACATTTATTAATATTCACATTCATGGGTGCCATCAACAACAAAGTAACAAAACTAATCTATTTCCAAAAGAGCTACTACTGGAGAAGCCTCCAATATTTACTCAATGGATCTTTTCAGTAGGGATTTGATGTTTCTAGAAAAGAGAATAAGACAAGTTCCTAACATCCATATTATGTTACTGTTCCAGGGCTATAACCTGATTACTTAATACTAATTCCAACAGCCATGAGATGTCTTGTGCCTAGGTATAAAAATACAAGGATATATGCTAATATTCACTATTCCCAACTCTAGTTTTCATTTGTTTGTTTATGAAAACCATTTTACATTGTAAGGAAGCAAAGCCTTGTAAAAAAAACTAATGTAAGAATTATTGTCATAAAAATATAGCTTCCCTTCAAAAATGTTCCACAGTTCTTTGGGATACCAGCGGCTCCCAATCAAGTAATGTAGACAAAAGGGGCAAAAATCCATAAAAATATCACATCTCAAATATTGACTCATATATAGAATTCATCTTCAGTGGAATCTTGTTATTTAATAAGCTATCAATCTGATTTACAAAGTATCTAAAGACAAAAAATGTGTATTTACATTGTACATATTTTAAAAAATGCAGTGCTATTGGATAAAGGAATGTTTAATTAAAAAAATTAAATTTAAATTTAAAATTTAAAAAAATTCAAGCCTAAGGACAACTCCATATAAGTGGCCCCTTTATACTATTAAGAAGAAAATGTGCAGATTAATTCCTTTTTCTTCCTGATTATTTCATCCATCCAATGTTTTGTAAAGGTATTGTTGAGAGCTACAATATTTTCATTAGATCATTAAGTTACCAGTGTAAAGTAACCTGTGTTAGTAATGATCATGAACTGTATAAATATACTTGCTTGAAGAACAAAACTCTAGACAAAAAGAAGCTGTTAGAAAAACCTATTTAAATAATTAAAATGTGGCTTGTTCACACTGTGTCTAATTAAAAGTAGAGAAACCAGACATTCTACAATCACAGCAACATTGTTGGATTTGAGAATTAAACAAGTTAATAACAATGAAAAGTATGCAATTGGCAAAAATATTTTCTTCATTGGCGTGGGGTTTTTTTCATCGCAGCCAAGAGGATGGAACCCACTGAGGTTCTGTATCAAGTTTGTTAATTAAACGAAGTAATTCTTGATATGCTTTATCAATATCAGAATTCACAATTGCTGTATCGAAGTAATGGCCATTATTTTGCTCCATCTCTCTGGTTTTCTCTATGATTTCTCTTAGTTCTTCTGGCTGAAATTGAAGTGGAAAAAAATATCCTATATCAGTAATATTTATCTTGCTGTCTCTCTCTCTCTCTCTCTCTCTCTCTCTCTCACACACACACACACACACACACACACACACACACACACACACACGGCCTTATAGAAAAGCAGAACTCAGCTGCATAAGAGAAAACAATATACAAGACAGACAAGTGTTAGGATAAAAACTACTGATTTTCTTTTTAATCCAAAGCATTTCTGACACATTTTAACGAACAGTGGAAGTTTGTGACGGGGAGTCCAAAGAAGTTTATCTTTGTTTTCTCCTTGCTTTTACTAAATTTACCTCCCTTAACCCAGTAGAAGTCACTACACAAATTTAGGCTTACTTTAAGAACTAAGGGAAATCTTTTGTTAAGTATAGTTGGATGTTAACCACGAGATCGTTAACAGAAAAGGGAAATCAATGAAGTTAGAACTAAAACTCTAGTAGCGCTAGTAGATTAGAACATAACCATATAATTTCCCTCTTTAAACATTACTAATGTGACAAGGGCACTTAGCTATAAGGAAGTAAATTGGGATATTCCAGGAAAATATAGCAAGGCTGAAAACATATTATGATATACATTAAAATGGTGGACTTATCAAAAAATGTAAACAACACAATTGAAAACATTACCTATGAGTATTACCTTTGGATTTTTGCCTTCTTTGGCCAGCAATGCACGAAGCCGTTCTTGTGATGGAGGTGCAATGAAGATAATATATGGTTTCAAGTCTGAATTGCGTAAACTCTTCAATGACTAATGTAAAAGTAAAATTTGTGCTATTAATATCCATACCAAACAAAATGAAACCATCAGAGATGTCAATTATCCACTGTCAATAGTATTATGCATTTCTGACTAAACTGTTTATAAGAACCATAAAAATAAACCTAGTTATGTTGGATGAATTTGTTATATACAAATTGGAAACAGGAACTGGATTTGAGCAACTGAATTAAAGACTGGTCTTCTTAATATTAGGCTATGTTTTCCACAAATGTGCCACTTTACAGAAAATTGCATAAGAAGTACAATAGTTATGATTAAAAGCTATATAATGAAAAAATCCTTTAATATATTAGTAGTATAACAATAGAAAGTACTTTAATATTACAATAAATCTAGATTTGGACATGACTTTTTCAGGAACTCAAAATTGTATAAGATCATTCTCTGTTTTTTAATTTTAAATATGAAACTTACCAAAGCCCATAAAATAATTTAAAGACTAGCAGGTAAAAATATAAAGCTTCTGTAAAAAATTAATCCTCTCCTAAATTTGACTGTTGAAAATTTTTTTAAAAGTCCACAGATTTCTTGCTAGTATACTGCTACATATATACCAAGATGTATTGGGGTATGACTAAGATATATTGCAGGGATATACAACTTCCAGTGTCTGTGGTGGTTAAGAACTGGAATGTGGAAAGTTGCAAAAGGTAGTCTCCAAAGAGAAAGTTAAGGCAACCGTGTTCAACTAGACCTTTTTCAGCATCACTGTCACATAAACTGATTCTTAATACAAATTAGCCTTAAATATGCAGAATTAACAGCTAATGTTTAAATTTCTTAACAAAGCAGAAACAATTTCATGTTTCTTAATCATTGCAGTACAATAAAGTTTAATCAAAACGATACTGAAGTTGAGAACCAGTTTGGTCTAGTGCAGGGGTAGGCAACCTTGTGTATTTTATGACTTGTGGACTTCATAGCTCGCTCAGGAATTCTGGGAGTTGAAGTCCACAAGTCATAGAAGACACAAGGTTGCCTACCCCTGGTCTAGTGCTTAAGGCAGCAGCTTAGAAAGCCGAAGACTATGAGTTTGTCCCCCTCAGCCATTCGTGAAAGCCAGCTGGGCGACCTCATCCCAATCCACCTCACAGGGTTGTTGTAAAAAAAATAAGAGGAAGAAAGTGTATCGGATATGTTCTCCACCTTGAATTATTTATAAAAATAGGATATAAACAATCACAATTAAAAATGTAGAGTCCAAAACCTATGTCATTACCTGTGTATGAAGATTTAAGAGACATATCTTTCCAGAATTGATCACCTGCCGGACGGAGTCTATGCTGGTACCGTACAGATTCTTCTCAAATTCCCCATGCTCAATAAACTTTCCTGCTGTAATGTCAGTCTCAAATACTTGCCGTGATACAAAATGGTAATCCCTGCCGGCTACTTCGTTATCCCTCCTATTTCGTGTTGTATCTGAAAAAGACCAATAAGCAAACTTAATAAATCTTGAGCAAGAAGGTACTGTTATAATATATCAGTTTTCAAGACTTTATGAAAAAAGAGCTGTTTGCAAAAAACCTTTTTTCAGCCGAGCATCCTTGAGCTAAATTCAGAACTTTCAGTTTTATATCCAAAAGACTTTGGTTCTTTAAATGGGTTCAAAAATTGTTACATGCAACATATGGCATATATCCAGTGATATATAGCACATTTCCAAACATGCAGCTGAATTAAGAACACTGGTGAACACAGGATGCTGAGAATGACACATGCAACTGAAATTACTGAAACATAAACAGAATAACAATACATTCTTAAAAATGAGAAATGATTAATTAGTAATGTGAAGTTTTTGTGAATAAGATTGACAAATTTCTCTTTATGATGACTTCATGTTTATTAATTACATAAATAACAAATACACAATCAAGGAACTCTAAAGCATCTTCCCTCAATATCACTATATGTCAAGTGTACTAAGCTAGAAAATGACATATTAAGAAACATGTCAACTTACGAGGAACTGCAGAAGCAAATCGGTCAGCTTCATTATTCATTAATCTTTGCCACAGTTCATTTTGACCACAGTTCTGGGGACCAATCAGGACAATAGGTCGTTTCCTATTTGCTGGCTGGTGATAAAGTGACATTTCTTCATAAGTCAAAATCTCCTCGTTGTCATAATCTTCAAAAAGAAAGCCCAAAACAAATGTACAAATTTAAAAAGCTTATTCTTTTCTAAAAAAAAATAATTCTTGCAACACTGACTAGTTGAGAAATATAAATATAAATTCTATTTTGCAAATATCAGAACTGTTTGGATTTTAATAATAATTTGAAGTGTTTTCTCTCATTTCTTTTGCTGCTACTCAGCTATTTTTTACAATTATATATGATAGAAAATGATAGGTAGACAGATACCTATGTATTATAATATGCATAGTGCCTTCCTAGTCAACTTTGACCAAGAAAGTAGTATGCATATTATAGCACGATGCCTATATAGGTATCACAATACAACATTTGTGTTATTCATGCAATAAATGTGGGTGCATGTATTGTGAAGTGTTATATCACAAGTTGCTAATGCTGATAAATTGCAGTGTGCACATAATTCAAAAAGCTTTTTATTAGTAATTAATAAAACATATTGTGTGGCTTCAGATATAGACACAAACACCCTTTATGGGATTTGAACCTGGGCAGTTTACATGTTAGGCAGTGATTTAACCACCAAGCCACAGGCTCTCCTCCCCTTTGTCAGCAGAGTCAAGGGAGTATATACAGAAAGTTTTTCAGACAGACCGGTCTGATTGATTACACCTTGGCATTTTAACTGCTATACCTCAGTTCTACTTTTTACAATCTCTTTTGCCTTGTAGCCCAACTAGGGGGTTAAGCAGGCTCAAGTCACTACTGTGAAACATTTACAAATCCAGATTTCTTTTTCTGACAAAGAGTTAAAGAATTAAGTTGGGAGACTAATATGGCCATTTCGAGCTCATTCTGCTCTCATCAGTTAGCCATACCCTTATGGGGCTTGGTGGTTAAATCACTGCCTAACATGTAAACTGCATATAGAAAGTTTTTCAGACACACACACACACATATATATATACATATGTGTGATATAGATTGACACAGTTGAGATTTAAATTAATAATAAAAGTCCTCTGAGATGCCTTTAATATATTAAGAAAAGTATTCACTCAAATAATGATCCAAAATATTAGATGTGGAATTGTGTTCACATGCTTTTTGGCATCTTTCTTCACGACATGAAGAGTCACTGTCAAAAGAGAAGATTTATTTCCTATCCAAATTTTTGATCCTGAGTAAAAAAAATACTCATATATGTAGTCTTCAACTTACAACCATCTGTTTAATGACCATGGGAAGTTATGACATTACTGACAAAAATGACTTATGACCAGTCCTCACACTTATGGCCATCACAGCATCCCCACAGTCATATGATCAAAGTCGGGCACCAGCATGTATTTTTGATGGTTGCTCATCTCAGGTCACATGACTGCCATTTGCAACTTCCTCAGGGAGCTTCTGACAAGCTTCCTCAATAGAGGAAGCTGTATTTGCTTAACAACCAGGTAAAAAGATCACAAAATCAGGCACGACTCACTTAAGGACTGCACTGCTAAGTAATGGGACTTCCATTCCCAATTGTAGCCATAGGTTGAGGACTACCTGTATCCCTGAAGATTAGCATCATTTCTGAACTGCTATGGAGACACTGAACCCTCAAATGAAAGTTACTGTACAATATGGTGGTAATCATGAACGTGGTCAAAACCCAAAGAACAAGAGACAAGAGAAGATTTTAAAAAAATATTTCAAATATTTTAAATGGTTCCGTATGACTAATTTATTTTTAAAATAAGCAACTGAGCTATCATAACAACTGTATACTTTGATAAAACAAAAAAAGGGAAAAGTTATATAGGTAATTCTTGATTTATAACCATTCATTTTGCAACCATTCACTGAAAAAAAAAAAGATGTACAACCAATCCTTGCACTTAATACCACTAATAAATTAGCCACATGATCAAAATTTGGGCACTTGGCAACCGGTACGCATTTTATAATAGTTTAGCATCCTGAGGTCATGGATCACTATTTATGACCTTCCCAGCCGGCTTCTGACAAGCAAAGTCAATGGTGGAAGCCAGATTTGTTTAACAATCGCATGATTCACTTAATAACTGAAGTGATCCACTTAACAACTGTAGCAAAAAAGGTCCTGAAATTGGGTGAGATTTACTTAACAACCACCTTGCTTAGCAACAAAAATTCTGGTCCCAACTGTGGTTGCAAGTTGAGGACTATCTGCACCATATCTCATTAACAATTCATTCATCTAGAAAAAAAATATCTTGAAGTCAGCTGAAACCCTTTCTTACCATCATTTTTATTGGCATTGTACAAAACTTTCTTCCGTTTCTTTTTGTTCTTCTTTGCACACCAAAGCTTCCCTAAAAGCAACCAAACAACAGTCAGTTACTCAACTTGGTCCTTTTAGTGTTTGTTAAGAAAAACTGCATATAAGAACTGCACTTAAGATAAGACCTTATTAAAGTTGATATATAGAATTCCAACTCCCGGAATTCTCAGGGTAGCGTGCCCTGAAAGTTGAAGTCCACACATTTTAAAGTTGCCAGATTTGAAAAACACTGAGGTAGTATCCTCTTTAAAAAAAGGGGGGTACTTAAACCCGATCATCCCTCTTAAGACAAATCAATTGTCCAGATAGTAAATCCATCTATCTGCTGCAACTATTAAGACAACTGAAAAACACTAAACTTGCTAACACAAGTATTTTTGAAGTCTTCCACTTACCTGATTTTTCTGGCTCTTTGTCCTCTTCTATAGTTTGCTTCATCGCTTCTCTTTGCTGCTGAAAACTTTTTCCTTCATGAAAGAAAGTATGTATAAGAATAAACACTGAAAGAACATAACAGTATCTCTCTCATAATAATAAACTATGTTATTTTGAGAGCATTTCAAAAGAGGCTCAAAGAAAACTGCCACTGAAGATATTTGAAAAAAAAAAATCACTAAGTATGTATCTTTCATAAAATTGCATGAAGAATATGCTTCTCACCCTGTGAGCAGTTTTCTTTTCTCTATTTGGCAAGTCAAGACAATGACATAAAATGGATTCAGATTCAAATTAATTATGAAACTATTTGTGTATTATGGGATTGGCCCACCCCACTTGCTCTGGCAGAAGGGGCTGGCTATAGATCCTGTCGCCCAAGCAACTTTGGCTGGTGGGGGTCCAGAAGAGCCTATTCTGGAACATTGTGTGCCCTGCGGGATCTGTCCCCACCCTTTTAGCTTTCTGAAAAGGCCTGAAGACCTGGCTATGCCAGTTAGTCTGGGGTCCTGGTTGGGGCGGGGCATCCCTCATTGGAGATAGTTAGCAGATTGAGAAGATCCCACCTCCACCCCATTTATGTATTCGTTCCTTTTTTAAAACTCAGTTTTTGTTCACTTTTAACAATGTTTTTAATGTTTTATCTCACTGTTTTATGATGTTGTAAGCCACCCAGACCCATTCAACAATAAGATGGGAGGCATATAAATTGAATAAATAGATGTTACTTTATTAATTTATGTTATGCAATTTTATTACATTTTATGTCTATTTTTTTGTTTTGATGATAATGATGATGATAATACTCATTCAGTCATGTCCAACTCTTGGCGATTCTATGGGCCAGGTCTCTCCACATCTTCCAATCTTGCACTACTTCTTTGAATTGTTCTATGCTCTGGCTGCTGTCCAGCCACCGTGTTCTTCGGCGGCCTAGTTTCCTTTTACCGCTAACTCTTCCAAACTTAATTGCTTTCTCTAGCGATTTATTAATTATAGGTTTATCTATTTTCACTGCAGTGTTCTCTCACCTAAAGGAGTAATAAAAAGGGCTCTAATACTTCACTAGTCATTAAATATGGTACAATACTAGAATGCTCTTATTCTTGTGAAAAAGTACATTTTTAGCAATTTAAATAATAAATTCCCAAACTAAGGTTTATTAATAGGTCCATTCTGCCTTGTTGTATTCTTAAGGAAACATTATAAACATGAATAAATCTAAATTTATTATTTGCTATATATAGCAGGAGCCCTTTCAGTTGCAAGCCTTTGCCCTACAGCAAGCATTCCCTTTGTAACTTCAATACATATTTTATTTAAGACCAATAGCACTTGCACATATTTTTTTCTATTTCCAATATTATTGATTACATTTCAAATATACAGAAAAACTAGTTTTAAAATATGATTCTATAGTTGAAGATGTAACAATAAAATAAGCACATAACCAAACATTAAGTTTTCATGATTAAAAACCTAGGGGAACATCAGGCCAATAAACTGCTGGTATTAACTGTGCTATTGCTTCTGCTTTTTATCAACTCTTCAAAAAAGGGATAATGATTGTATTATATTAGAAGGCATCATACAAAATAAAACATTTCTTTGCTCAAGAGACCAATAGGAAGCATTGGGAGTGTGTGTGTGGGGATATTTTATGAACATCTGTGTGAATTGTCTGCTGTTCTTAACATTAAGTACCTGGAATGAGGCCTGCCAAAGGCTGATTTTCTTCATCTCCATCTCGATAAGCCTGCCACCAATTTGGATCTTCCTGGCTGATCACATGGAGTATGTCTCCTTTTTGAAAAGACAGCCCTAACTCTCTGCAAGGGACATAAGGGTCATCAGAAGGATCGTAGTCAAAGTGAGCCTTCACATGTATCTAGGACACAAAAATATACAAACACAAAAATGGATAGGCAATTCTAATGATTAATTTCTAGTAAGATGTCCCCCCCCCCCTTTTAAATACCCTTACTTCAAAAACGGATTAAAATTCCCAACGGACACATCATCTGATGGATTTAAAAGATTTCCTGGAGTTCCACAGGAACCTGGAAGGTCTTCTGTTAGGTTCCTTGTTGAATATTGGAATATAGAGACAACTAGAGCAGAGGTCCCCAACCTTTTCTGCACCAGGGACTGGTTCCGTGGAGGTTTTTCTGCAGACTGGAGGGGGCATGGTTTTGTGTGCTGCCTGTATTCTGCAGATGGGGCTTTGCTTGTTTGTGAGAACTGGTTGGTGGCATGCTGCGGCCCGGTACCGGTCCACGGCCCAGGGGTTGGAGACCCCTGAACTAGGGTACTTAACAGATAGGCCCTGACTAGGTACTCCCTGCCCACTGATGCAGTTCTTTGGTTTATTGAGGAGCATTGTGAAGTGAAGTAGGCAAAGAGACAGCTGGAATGATGCTCAAGATGTGAATGCAACCTGACATTGGCAGGAGCCCAGGTTCAAACCTATGCTGTAGTAAAAAGGGCATGGGCTGCTGGGCAGCTAATGTGTTCTGGATTCTTCTGGGGAAGGATAGGCTGGAAGATCCAGTCAGTGTTAAGTTGCCATTATCTGGCTGAGAACTTCATAGATAAAATTATTTGCATGTGTTCCCAATTAGAAGATGGATAGAATCTATAGAAATGTTAGAAGTAACATCTTGTAGTATTATCTGGGAGGCTTTGGAGCCCACAGATCTCCCAAAATGAACAGAGTCCTCGGCAATCTTAGCTTTGCTACTTGTGAACTGGATCTGTCCCCCACCTGATGAATTAAAGCAGTAAGGTAGGAGATTCGAAGTTGGATCTCATTTGTGATTAAGTAGGAGCTATCAGAAGTCCTTAAAGAGGCATTGGTTTGCTCACTCAAGAAATCAGGGTTCAATCCAACAAAACTGAACAATTTCTACCATTTTAAATTATTTTTGGAGGAGAGGTTTACTGAGAACATAGTTGGGCCAACACACAAAGGGCTCTGGAGGATATGGATTAACTAGACCCCTGGCATTCTGGCTTCAGACCTGTGCAAGGGTTGGAAACTGCACTGGTGATTCTCATGAATGCCCTTTGGCAGTTTCAGATAGAGGTGTTTTGACTATCCTAGTCTTTTACATCTTCCAGGATGCACGATTAGTAGATTCATTCATGTTAAGAAACAGGAAGGCTTCTCTCTTACTAGCCCTTGTACTTCTCCTAAAGCTTCTCATGGGGAAGGGATAACAGATACTAAGGAAAACCCTAAGATGTGGACATGACAATCCTGAAAGCCTTTATCATTCTCTCCTATTCATTTTCTCCTGCCTCTTAGAAAAGAAACTTGCTCTTCAAATTACTGCTCCAGACACTTGTAGAAATATACAAGACTCAGAGTCTTTTTAAATTAAATTTCTTCTTCTCATATAGCCCGAATACTTCCTTTAAATAATAAATTGTGGCAGGACTCTAAGTAAAATTCAAAAAGTGAATTTTAGATTGTTATAACCAAGAATCAAGGAATGGGTGGCCTGATGTTGCTTAGTTTTTGAAATGTCAAGTGACTCTGAATAACATGTCCTTAGATTTTTAATGTTTGGTTTTAATTTATTTTTGTTTTAACATACATACATTTTTATCACTGTAAGCTGCTCAGAGTTACTCTACGGTAAGATGGAAGGCCAATAAATTTTATAAATAAACAAATATAAATAAATAAAGAGAAGTTTTTTTAAAAAACAAACAAACTATAAGCATCAACTGAACCTCTGTTATGTGAAGTATTATCTGATATAGTCACATACCACTGTCTCCTTAGTAGGTGGGGGCTTGCTCTGCTGACTTGGAATCAGTACAAATGTCAGAGTGCCATGCATGTCTGCCTGTGAAGAAAAGCATCAATGAATTATAATTTTAGATCATCTTAGGTTCCTTGGTAAATTACTGTTCTTACCCAATTGTCTTCTTTCTATATGCTGATCTGAGATTTCACAACTCCATTTGGATGGATTCTGATATAAAGTGCTACATTATTCTTCTTTTAAAAATCAGCCATGTGTATCAGACCTAGCACCATAAGTTTAACAATGGGAATGGCACCATTACTCAGGTCACACTTCAGAGACAGAGTATCCCTGATTTTTATTTATGAATTAACTTTTTGTCAATATTCCAATATATTGTAATCTGCTGGATTATTTATTTATAATCTGTACCAGTGAGATGCGTGGCACAACCATTTTAATAAATAAATAAACAAACTGTTAAGATGAGCTGAGTTGAGAGAAAGTGACTGGGCCAAATCACTCAGCTGGCATTGTACTCAAGGTAGAATGCTTGTTTTAAATGATTAGGGATGTATATGCACTAGGCCAGTGGTTCTCAACCTGTGGGTCGGGACCCCATTTGGGGTCGATTGACCATTTCACGGGGGTCGCCAAGCAAGGCTGTCCGCCATTCTTTTTGTCCGCCATTTTTTCCCCCTTTTCCGGTGGGCCTTACCTCCCTTGGGCTGGGCCAGCTGGTGGTCGGCCTGCTCCGTCTCTGCCGCTTGCCAGCTACACCTCGGCCGGCGCAGGGGGCGGAACCACGCATGCGCGGCGCTCCAGGGCAGGGAAAGTCCTCGACTTACGACCAGTTGGGTAGTCCTCGACTTACGACCGGTTTAGTCCTAGACTTATGACCGGTTTAGTCCTCGACTTACGACGGTTGGGGTCGCGGCATTAAAAAGGTTGAGAACCACTGCACTAGGCTGTATTCGAGGCATATTTTAATGTACTGTTATGCTTGCTGTTTTAAGGTTAATATTTGTTTACTGGGTTCAAACCAATTCAATTTATTTGTAATTATTGTGCTGTGTTTTGTACTGTACCTTGCTAAAAATATAATATTTGGCCTTTTTTTGTGCAACATACAGATGTTAAAGCCATTTTCATTATGTCTTAAGATATACATGGAAATTTTGGCTGGTAAAACATATTTAAACCAGAAATAGTTACAACTTAGAGATTAAACATTCCACTAATAGAAACTTAGAAGCTTATGCATGGCCATTAAAGTTCAGCCTAAACAAAGTTTCTGACTTCTGCAAATGAGTATTGATGGAGCTCCAAGGACTGATTCTTTGAAACAATTTGCAATTGGCATGCTAAATATAACATCAGAAGATTTTCTTTGCTCCACCCCTTTTTTCAATTGTATCCAATTCTCAGTTCACCTGGACAAGTCCCTGCAGTTTCCTTGGCAACATTTTTCAGAAGTGGTTTGCCATTACCTCCTTCCTAGGGTTGAGAGAAAGTGTCTGGCCCAAGGTCACCCAACTGGCTTCTCGCCCAAGGCAGGACTAAAACTCCTGATCTCCCGATTTCTGGCCCGATGCCTTAACCATTATACCAAAACTGGCTCTATCAAATAAGTGACATAACATACCAGCAAGTCAAAAACCTCATTAACATCTTTTCCACGAATTTCAGTTCCATTGATTTCCAAAACTTCATCACCTTCATGTAAGAGCCCACTCTTTTCTGCAGCACCTCCTTTCACTATTCGACTAATGATGACTGAATCCATTTCATTTCGTACTGTAGCACCCTGGGTAATAGAAAGTGAACATCTGAGATGATGAGAAATATAACTAAAATAAAAGAAGTTTGATTCGAACCAGATTGAAACCACCACTCAGGCACCTTATGATCAATCTGTCAGTCTAATCCAGTGTTTCTCTACCATGGTAAATTTAAGATATCTAGACTTCTACTCTCAGAGTTCCCCAATCAGCCTTTCTGGCTGGGAAACTCTGGGAATTGAAGTCCAGACATCTTAAAATTGGTCTGATCTATTCCACAGAGTACGTAAGACAGAAAAATCTGCAAGAGAATCATGCATGTTTGTGTTTCAATGATATTCTTCAGTCTTTCAGGAGTAAGTTAAAAATAGAATGAAAAGAAAGAAAAACGAAAAATACAGTTTTTAGATAATGTTTAGTTTCTATTAGCACATTATGGCATCGTGTGCCAATCATTACAAAAAAAATTAATTCTCTCTACTAATAAATATGCACTATCATTCTTAGATTTTGTAGTTCAGAGCCAGAAAAAGTAACCAGATATAATTTTTTTTCTTTTCCTTTCTTCCACCCATCATATGGGTATAAAGTGACAAAACAAAGGTGCCTTTTGGGAAGAAGAGTTGTGACATAATGGTAAAGATGCATGTATCCTGTCAACCTTTCAAGACATGGCAGGTCAGGAAACACATCACACGTACTCCAGCAAAACTATTTTTATAAGGCATAATAAATACAAGTGTGAAAGGGTATCAGAGTTTCTTTTTACCCAACCTTGTACCAAATAGAATCAAAGCTATTATTTTGAGTTTATTTCTCAGGTTTTTAATTTTCCCAAATTGTGTAGCTATTTTATCTCCTTTAATGGCTCATTTCCAAGGTCATTTATACAATCGTTTCTATATACTGTGATGAATATGAGTGCAATTACAGAACTGGTGTCAATCCTGCTGTAAAGTTTATCTAAAGCACAGCAGTTTACTGGAATGAATGATAAAGTATTAATCTTTAGTATATTCATATATTGAGGAAGATTGAGAGGTGTGCCTTGTAAGTACAGAAAATATGCTCAATTTTCAATTCAATTTTATGCAGAAACATACATATAAGAAAACCAGCACTTGAGTCTGCTTAAAATAGATCAGAATTTTCAGGAGAATCTGAGAATACGACCAAAAACTCATTATTTATCAGTCCACAAAGCCAGCTGTAGAGTGGGAAAATGATTTGCACATTTTTATATACCTGAGGGAGAGCATTTGTGTTCCCTTTTTTGAGACAATGTACTATAATGATCAGACCGAGCATTGTAAAAAATATGGGAGTCAATGTTTTTCCAGATCACATTTTAGTATACTTACCAATGGAATATCTCTCGCTTTCTCAATGCGAACAATTTTAACTGTTTCTCCTCCATACACACCAACATTTTCATATATCTTTTCATCTGCCACTGATTCGGGTTGCATTTCCTGTTCAGCAATTTTATCATGAGCCAATAGTAGTGCCTGGTGCAAAACAGTATACTTACGGTTTATTATGGTATGACCAAATAGATGGCATAGGGTAAAAATACCACAAAAATTCAATACTGGATACAAAATTCAATACTGGATGCAATATGAACCAGAAGACATTTTTCTTATATTTTCTTCTGATTCCATATGCGTGGACAATCAAATTAAGGAATGCTACCAGTACAGTCAGTTACAACCATAACTGAGACCACTTGCGGTGTTTGGTCCCGCCCTCAACTCCTTTCCGCCACTACCGGAACAATTTTCACCAGGATGGAGACCTTGGGGAAACTGGAAGCTCCGTTGCATGCAAATGCACTTAGAAACGAGTGCCTCACTCTTGGCTCCGTTTTTGCCTGAAAAAGCCATTTTTCAAGCCCCTTCCTGGCAAAAACAAGCCTCTGGAGCAAGCGCGCCTTGCTCTTATTGAGAGCAATCCTGCAAAAACAAGCTCCAGGATGAGCACACCTCGCTCTGTGGCTCCATTTTTGCCAGAAAAAGGCATTTCTCAAGCACCTTCCTGGCAAAAACAAGCCTCCAGAGTGAGCATACCTCACTCTTTGGCTACGTTTTCATTGGAAAAAGCCATTTCTCAAGTCCTTTTCTGGCAAAAACAATCCTCTGGAGGGAGTGCCCTTGCTCCGGAGGCTTCTTTTTGTAGGATTGCTCTTAAGAAGAGTGAGGCATGCTCGCTCCGGAGACTTGTTTTCACTAGGAAGGGATTTAAGAAATGACTTTTTCCTGCAAAAACCTAGCCAAAGAGCGAGGCGTGTTTGCTCCAGAGGCTTGTTTTTGCCAGGAAGGGGCTTGAGAAATGGCTTTTTCCTGTGAAAAGCTAGCCAAAGAGCAAGGAGCGCTTGCTTTGGAGGCTTGTTTTCACTAGGAAGAGGCTTGAGAACTGGCTTTTTCCTGTGAAAACTTAGCCAGAGACCGTGGCGTGCTTGCTCCAGAGGCTTGTTTTCATCAGGAAGGGGCTTGAGAAATGGCTTTTTTCTGGTGAAAAGCCTCTGAACCCTGATACTGGCAGGGTGAAGCAGCGGCGGCCAGACCAGACCCTTCCCCGTCTCTCCTTGCTTCCCCAAAGCCTCTCTTCACTAACCTCCTTTCCACTTCCATTTTCCGCCAACACATGCAGGGCAACAAAAGAAGCTTGTGGGACTACCGGTTAAAAAAAAAGTTCAATCAGACCTTCCAACTTTGCGAGATCTTTTTTTTCCCGCGAGAAGTTGGAAGGTCAGGTTGATCTCTTTTTTTTAAAATCCCATAAAGTTCTTTTGTTGCCCTGCACACGGAGAATGGAGCTGGAAAGGAGGTTAGTGAAGGAATGTGGTTGCCCTGGGGTGGGGGTTAGGATTTGGCATTGTGGATTGTGGAATGTTTGTGCTCTGGTGGGGCTATTCAAAACACAGGGATTCCCTGCATTTTGAAGCATCATGTGACTACACAGAAAGTAGCGTTCCATTTCTGAAGCGCCCCATTCCAGGCATACAGAGCTTGCATACAGATAGAGGGAAAAAACAGTAGATATCTATATATTGTTTATAGTATATTTTAAAAAACTGAATACTCTACACTTTAAAATAGAGTGTTCCTACCTGAACATGAGGAGCATTCAATAAAGAATTAAGTTCCAGCCCATCTTTCTGATGGCTTGGTCTCAAAACATTTTGTACCTGGGAATTAGAAACACCAAAAATGTAACATCAGTTACCATATACATCATAAGCAAAGTATTATTTTACTTTTCACACAAGAACATCTTTTCTATAAGCAGTGTAGTATGTCAAACAAACATTGATTTCCTAACTATTTTTTCAATACAGTAAATGGATAAAATAAATCAGAGACCACATTAATTTTTAACACAACATTCCCTCACGAGTATTCAAGGATCTTCCAATTCCAAATGTCTCTGAAGAACAGCCATCTAAGTAGGTCTGTAACTCCTGCAGGAGGGGAATGATGGGGTATTACCAAACATGACTAGATAGGGGTCAAATTCCATCCTGAATAGATGGAACCCAACCTGTGTGTTCGTCCTGAGGACAGGGAATGCTGAAGTTCTACATCCTAATTGAAGTAAAGGGGTTGAGAGTCCAAGGTTCCTTTTTTGGTGGTTTCTCCCACTATGAAAAACCTTTGCCTGAAAGATGCATGGAGTTCTCATTCTGCTAGGCTTTTGCAAGACATCAAAGGTCATTTTATACTATCATTGTTTTACCCCCAAAGGTGCTTTTTCAAAAGGCAACTGGACTTGTTTTTCCTTGAAGATGTTTCGCTTCTCATCCAAGAAGGTTCTTCAGTTCATGGATGAGAAGCGAAACATCTCCAAGGAAAAACAAAGTCCAGTTGCCTTTTGAAAAAGCACCTTTGGGGCAACCATAACCTGGATGACTGAGAATCTCCATAGATATATTATTGTTTTAATTATAATGGTGTGGTAGGATTACCTTGATAGGCTGATTTCTCTTTGCTGCTGTTAAGGTTTGGTGGGCTGTTTTTCAGAGCGAAGGTTTTTTTATTTTTTAACAGTTACTGAAAACCATCCAGAATCCCAGACTAAGGTAGAATAGAACAGAATAACAGAGTTGGAAGGGACCTTGGAGGACTTCTAGTCCAACCCCCTGCTTAGGCAGGAAACCCTATAACATTTCAGACAAATGGTTCTCCAATTTCTTCTTAAAAACTTCCAGTATTGGAGCATTCACAACTTCTGGAGACAAGTTGTTCCACTGATTAATTATTCTAGCTGTCAGGAAATTTCTTCTTAGTTCTAGATTGCCGCTCTCCTTGATTAGTTTCCATCCATTGCTTCTTATTCTGCCTTCAGGTGCTTTGGAGAATAGCCTGACTCCCTATTCATTGTGGCATAGCCTGAGATATTGAAACACTGCTATAATGTCATGCCTAGTCCTTCTTTTCATTAAACTACACATACCCAATTCCAGCAACTGTTCTTTATATTTTAGCCTCCAGTCCCCTAATCATCTTTGTTATTCTTCTCTGTACTCCTTCTAGACTCAATATCTTTTTTACACCGTAGTGACCAAAACTGGATGCAGTATTCCAAGTGTGGTCTTATCAAGGCATTATAAAGTGGTATTAACACTTCACATGATCTTGATTCTATCCCTCTTGTTAATGCAGCCTAGAACTGTGTTGGCTTTTTTGGCAGCTGCAGCACACTGCTGGTTCATATTTAAGTGATTATCCACTAGGACTCTGAGATCCCTCTCACAGTTACTACTATTGAGCAAGGTACTACCTATACTGTACCTGTGCATTTGGTTTTTCTTGTCTAAATGTAGAACCTTACGTTTTTCACCACTGAATTTCATTTTGTTAGATAGCGCCCTATTTTCAAGTCTGTCAAGATCCTTCTGTATCTTAAGCCTATCTTCTGGAGTGTTGACTATTCCTGCCAGGTTGGTGTCATCTGCAAACCTGATGAGTTGCCCATCTATCCCCTCACTCAGATGATATACAAACATTTGTATACATAAAATATTACTGAAAATCAATGACTAGATAACACATTTTGGCAGTATAGCAGTATAATTTTGAGAGATTTTGCCTGTTACATATAAGGATTCAGGATGATGTATACAGCAATAGCAATAGCGCTTAGACTTATATATTGTTTAATAGTGCTTTACAGCACTCTCTAGGCAGTTTACAAGTCAGCATATCGCCCCCAACAATCTAGGTCCTCATTTTACCAAGCTCAGAAGGATGGAAAGCTAAGTAAACTTTGATCCCATCAGAATCAAACTCCGGGGTATGGGCAGAGTTAGCCTACAATACTGCATTCTAACCATTAAGCCACCAAGACTCCTGTATATATGAGCCTGTGGACTAAGTGTACCTATAGTATTTCTGAGGCAGTACAGGTAGTTCTTCTTTAGCAACTGCCTCAGGAAGTGACAGTTTGTAATATGTCAGTTTCCTGACCAAATCCACCCTCATACTCAAATATCTGTGCCTGATCACAATGCACACTGGATTAAGAGCAACACTTGTGTTGAGAACCTCCAGTGAGGATTATGGTGGTCAAATCATTTTTAAGGTGTGGATACGGTGTCACAACTTGATTGTCACTCAGCAGCCAGCATACATACCTCTTGTGCAAGTTCTTGTGCGTTGGAGACAAGAGGATATGGAGGACTTGCTTTGTTCATATGCACAGTAACAGCATTGTGTATCTTAAATGCATTTTGAAAGTCAGTATTTTGCACAAGCTGTAAAATGAGAGCAATTTCTTCCTGACTTTGTGGATCTATCAGCGTGTGTTGGACATGCTTAAGAGAACACAGCAGCTCATCAACCTCTGCAAAAGGGAACAGGTGCACTAGTAAGTATAGATATACTAAATATATGAAATACACTTTGTTAATTAGAATTATCTCACTATTTATTACAGTTATTATTTCCTGCATGAAAACGAAAGCAACAGGCTGGTAAACGGATTATCCCATAAACAAACCATATAGAATCAGATGAACAAAATCTTATAACAAATTAGTTACAAACCAAACTCCCTTGAAATTCATCTTTACTTGATAGGGTATGTTAAACAATAACACAAAATCATTCCATAACATTTGATGAAGTCAAAGACCACTAAATAAAATATTTGAGTTTGAAAACTATCTGTATCCGGCAAAGGTTACAGAGAAAAACATGTCCACCCTCATCCCCAGTGCATCCCTATGAAAGAAGGATTTGGCCAGTGGTTTGAAAGGCTCTTGACCATCTAAACCCGCACCCTACCCTCTTGGTCGAGTAACTCAACATAGAATATGGAACCCATATCCTTTCCACTATAGTCCTACAAATATGCATAGATGCAAACTGAGAGGAAAGGAGAAACACAGATGCAACATGTTAATTCATTATGCAGAATAAAATAACAAATGCTCCTATAATTATTGGGAAGAATTCCAAAAGTCAGGCTTTGTTTATCCTACCTTGTTGGATTTATATCACTTCCTTGGACCTCAATCCTGAGTAAGTTATACTCGTTTTCCGATTTCCATTCTTCCAAACTTATATGAAATATCAATGTAAGAAAAGTACTGTCATACTACAATTCCCATAGCGATCACCAACAGACCACAAACCTGAGAATATGGTTGTGGGAGGGAATGGAATATCTACTTCAGGAACTTCCTATCTTTTTCTGTAATTTTGTATTACATATTTGGGAGGTTCTACATAATCTCAAGATCTGCAGAATTGCTCACATTGGTGCTACTAATTAATTATCCTGAACTTTCAGAGTTTAATATCACTGTACTGTGCTAAGCTACACCTTGGAAGGAAAATTATGCACTGATGTCAGCAGTATGATTATAGTATGTTTTTTTAGTGGCTGAAAAGTCAAGGAATTTAATTAGAGAAAGTGAAGGAGGGAGGAAATAGGAAACTGATTCATGGCACACCATAAATTCTGAAAAGATAACAGAAGATGAGAACATTTTTTCATCAAAATAAAAGAGTTTTATCTCACTTCATTACTTGTGAAAAGCACAGTTTTAGACATCAAATGTTCACTATCAGGCTTTAGAAGGGCTTAGTCAATTCTAAAATTTGATGTGAGGTTATTTAAAGTCAAAAGACTTGACCCTGTCACATACTGCAACGCATTGTCAGATCACCATTACTTCTACCTTGCCTGGCAATTTATCTCTAATTTTCAATTTATTAAACTTAGGTCACCAACATGGGTTCTCTCATTGATTTAGAATAAAATTATAAATCTAAAAATAAATCCAGAGCTATTAAAAAGATTTTTTTAAAAAAAGTAAAAGTAGTGAAGGCAGGCTTAAAATAAAAGTTTTACAGCTTTTTTAAAAGCACAGAAGCAAAGAAGTTAAACCCATCAATGGAGTAAAGGAATCCATTCCAAAAAACTAAGATGATTAAAAGTTTTCTCAAGAGAAGCCCGGGGCCACTGTAACTCTCTCCAGATAACTTTAGTGAGCTGGGCTGCAGGGCATGGAATCATATAGTTACAAAAAGAAGCGTTGTCTCAAGGAGCTTGGCTCTATACTTTATAAGGTTTCTTTAAATAATAAGCAGCACCCTGTACTTTACCCAGAAAGAAGTCAGCAACAATGCAATGCACTGGGCCCTCATATAATGTAGCCCCTCTGATTTCAGAGGTCAATCTGACTGCTGACTTCTGTAAATTTCCAGGTTAGACATAAAGGAAATACTTTGTGAAATTATCCATTAGCTATTTACCAAATCCTTTCCCCAGTTCATTGTACTAATGTGCATTTTAATTCATTCTTCCTCATGGGCATGTGTTTACAAACACATACAATGCATAATTCATGTTTCAAAGAGTAGCAGAGAACAATAAGGATAACACTACAGAAATAAGAGAAATGAGAGATTTCTTTTTCGGCATGACAGGAAAGCCCATTAGCTGAAGAGAAAGGAAGGTATTGCTGTAATAATTGAAAATAATTGAATGATAATTAAGTAATTGAAGTTGTAAACCTTATTAAGGGTTCCAAATGATTTTTTATAGGTGTAGCTTTATGAAATGATATAATTAATTTCTTAACTTTATGGAGATGGAAACTTTTTTTCTTTTCTTTTTTTGTATAAGTAAGGGATGCTGTTAAACTATCTTGCTGAAATG